CCCCCTGCGTGCTCCCGCACGCCCCCCCTCCCCGCCTGGGGGGGTCTGCGCGCTGCGAAACGTCGCCAGCCTTCCCTCTCCTCCTCTCGTGGCCCCCCTCCTCCTCATCCCCCCCTCCCCCCTCTCCGCTGGTCGCCCGGCGATTGTCCGCAGGGCCGTCTCCGTCGTGCTGTCCTCCGTGGCGCTGCTGTCGTCGCTGCTGCTGCTGTGGGCCGCCCTGGACTCCTGGAACCCCCACGGCCTCTTTGCCAAGTGGGGCCTGCCGCCCATCGTGTACCCCCAGATCATCACCATGCTGTACCTCAAGGTGGGGGTGATTTGGCGGGAGGGGGTGGAGGCGCGTCGACGAGGAGGGAGGGGGTGTTGGAGGAGCTAAGGCCGCGCCGGAACCGGCGGCGACGAGAGGGGGCTTCGCTTATCCCATTTCCTTGCCTCTAATCACGCCGAGCCTGCCTGTTGCCGCCCCAGCATCAGAGGCCCACTTTCACACACACACACACACACACACACACACACACACGTGCACACACACGCATACACACACGCGCGCGCACACACACGCACACACACACGCACACACACACACACACACACACACGAACACACACGCCCGCTCCCCCCCCCCCAAGGTGTCCCTGTCTGACTTCCTGACCCTCTTCAGCGCGCGCACCCATGACGGCTTCTTCTGGTCCTCCATCCCCTCATACCTCCTGCTCACCGGCGCCTGCATCTCCATGGGCATCTCCACCATCATCGCCTGCCTCTGGCCCACCAACGCCGGCGACTTCTGGACTGACGGCCTCACCGTCGAGGGCCTCGCGCTGTGTGAGTGCCCCGCGGCACGCCCTTGCTGCCCACTGAATTCCGCGCCGGGGTCCTGCTGGCTGGGGCAGCAGCCCCGGCGGGGGGGCGGTCGGGCGCGTCGCTGGCGCCCTGCGGGCGCCGCTGCGGGCCCCCACAGACCCCAGGGGCGCGGCCTGGTGTGCCGGCGGTCCCTCTACCCTGCATCGCCATGGCCCTGCCCGCCTGCCTCTTGCTCTGGCTCGGCCATCCCTCCCGCCGTCACCCCCCCACACACGCACACCCATCACGCCCCCCCAACCCCAGCCGAGTACAAGCTGTGGGCCCTGTGGGTCTGGATCTACTGCATCATCTGGTGGTGGATCCAGGACCTCTGCAAGGTGCGCACACACAAAACACACAAATGCACACACGGGCGCGCGTCCCGACGCAACAGGCGTCGACCTAGCGCGGCGTCGCAGTGGGGCAGGCGCCTCTCTCCTTCCCTTCCCTACCCCCAGCCCCTGCACACAGACCTCTCTACCCCCCCCCC